GGCCTCTGGAGGAGCTGCTGCTGCTGCTGCTGCCGATAGGAGTCCACCAGTTGTTGAGGAACCAGCTCCACAAGTTCCAGGCTCTCTTTGATTTTCATCAGTATTTCAAAATTCTCTCGGCCACGCACCTGAGTTGAAAGCAAATCAGGACAGAAATGAGCCCTGATCCATGAATGGACTACCGTTTGTCCTCATGCATGGGACTAGATTCAGGTCTAAGGACTGACTAGAACTCAGGTCACCCAAGGAAAAGAGAGGGCTGAGATGGCTTTAACCTACAGAGTGGTTCCCATGGTGATAAAATTGGGAAGGATAGGAAGACCCCAAAATTATCTCTTCATTATGCCAGGGGCAGCTAAGTGGTGCAGTAGATAGGGCACTGGGCCTGGAATAAGGAAGACATGAGTTCAAATCTAGCCTCAGACCCTGGGCAAGTCACTTTACCCTGTTTGTCCCACTTTCCTTATCGGTAAAATGAGCTGGAGAAGGAAATGGCAAACAACTCCACTATTTTTGCCAAGAACACCCCAAATAGGGTCATGAAGGCACAACTGAACACTGAACAAGGACAAATTCTTCCAGTACCCCCTTCAAACCCTCTCTGCAGCCCTTAACACTCTTGCTCTATCAGAAAGAGGCCAACCCTACTCCATCCTCCTCCCTGCTTTCTAGGGAGGGTAATCTACTGGCCATTCTTCCTTTCAGTCCATTATCTTTCACAGCCTTGTCCATACCATGCTCTTTGATCCCACTTTCCATTACTGACCATTCTATCTCCTCTGTTCTTCACTTCCAAAACCTACTCATCTTTCCAAGACCCATGAAAATGCTACTTCTCCAATGAAGTCCCTGATCCTAAATAATCTCCCCTCTTTGCTGTGCTACAACACAGCTGATGTTAGCTGAATCACAAAATTTAACATTTTTATTCCACATTGTATGATATTGTTCTCTGATAGGTTTGGAGCACATGGATTTTACTTCTCCAATTAGACTATAGATGCCTTTAAGATAGAATCCATGTCTTTTTTCCTATCCCCTACAGCACATGGTTCAGTGTTAGACACGTAAAGATGCTTAATAATTATTTGTCCACTTATCCAGGCCCTTATCCATCTTGCCTAGACATTAGCATCCTAATTGCTTTCCCTATTCCTTCCCATTTCTCTCTCCAATTCATCCTTCATCAACATCTTCCTAAAGCAGAGATGTTACATCACTCCTCTACTCAAAAGTTTTCAGTGGCTCCCTGTTGCTTTTAAGATAAATTATCAACTTTTTCATCTGGCATTTAAGGTCTTCTCCAATATGGCGCCAACCTACCATTCCTACCTTATCTCATGTTAATGACTGCCTTTCACACTCTCCCCGATCCAGCCACATGCTGCCCCCTCCTGCCTTAGTGCCCACACGGCCTTCCCCTATGCCTGAGATGTGCATGTGCCCCCTTCTCATCTGCAGCTTTCAGATTCCTTCTCAAGACTCAGCTTAGGTGCCACCACCTCCATAAAGCCTTCGATGATTCCCCCACAGCTGAAGGTCTTCCCTCTTTCTTCAAACATCCTCAACTACCCCTGAATGCTATGTTCTTCACCTGTATCTCCCATTGCCAGGGCAAGGACTGTCTGGCTTTTGTATCCACAGCACCTAGTATGGTGCATAGCACACAGAAAGTGTTCAACTGCATGCTTTGTTTGGATTTTTAAAAATCAGTCTTATTGATACCTTTTGTTTTCACATTGCCTAGATTTCCCACTTTGAGTAAATGCTGGCTTAATGAATCAATCCTCTCGGAACAGAATGCAAGTTCCTTGAGGTCAATTATTTCTGTCTTCATACCCCCACGACCTAGCATAGCTGGAGCAGCTAGAGGGCGCCATAGTACACAGAGCACTAGGCCTAGAGTCAGGAAGACTTAAGTTCAAATCCAGCCTCTGATACATACTTGCTCTGTGACTCTTGGCAAGTCATTTAATTTCTGTTTGCCTCAGTTTCCTCATCTGTAAAATGTGGATAATAATAGCACCCTACCCCCCCACCCCCCACCCCAGGGTGGTTGTGAAGATCAAATGAGACAATAATTGCAAAGTGCTTAGCCCAGTGCCTGGCACATAGTAGGTGCTATAAAAATAGTTATTATAGTGCCTGGCACATAGTAGGTATGTTGGATTTGTTAAACTGCCTTTCCAGGCCTTCCCTGGTCTCGATCCTGAACCCACAACTCTTCTTGACCATCCCCAACCTAGTCAGAGGCCCTGCCAGCACTGGTGTTAGTAGGGGGCTACTCACAGGCATATAGTATATCTCCTCATCCCCATTGTCTCCTCTTTTTCACATTGGCCACCAGGGCAGGGATGGCAGGTGGGCTTTGCTTGAACGCTAAAGTGAGACAGGAAAGACCATTCATTAGCGTGGACAACAGAGGAGTTTGGAAGGGGGAGGGGAAGGTGATGAGGGGAAGGGTGTAATAGGGACCGGATGACAGAAATCTGATAATAGCCTGGTAAGGGAGGGGCTCACTGGTCAATTGTCAAAAATATGTACGCCTCTCACATCTTCACTGGCGGTGAGGCCAAGTCATGATTTCAATGCCTAAAAAATGTTAAGCTGATTAAATTACTTCAAAGGCCTGGGAAGGATAATTATGGAAGTAAATCTCACCTTGGCCCATGCATGGATGGGCATATGCTCAAGCTCATATATAAACAAATGCACACAGGAAAGAAAAATACACATACAACCCCCAGCACGTCTGAAGATCATGGAAACCACTTCCAACATGCCAGCCCAGGCCCCTCTTCAATTCACAGAAATGAATTAGGGGAAGGGGCTTGCCCCAAATTTCTGCATGTTCCAAATGCATCCTTTGCAGCGCTGTGGTCATTCATGTGGCACTAATTCTCAAACGGGTGAAGGATCCATTATTCCATTAACTCAGAGACGCCTGGTATAAAAACCCTGTCCACTGACAAAGAGCATAAGCTGACTGTGACTCAGTAGAGATGTCCGAGGACAGGGATCCTTAGCCTTTTCTGTATCACAGACCTCTTAAGCAGCAGTCTAGGGAAGTCCCTTCTCATAATCACATTTTTAAATGCATCAAATAAAATACATCTGGTTGCAAAGGAAACCAATGACTTTAAATTATATTGAGATCCAGTTAATTAATTAGCTAATTAATTAGTTAAACCCCTAATGCATAACCTCTCCCAAATCCTAGGTTCAGCACCCGTCTCAGGCCAGAGAGTGAAGTCTCAGGCCACACAACTAATAAATGCCAGTGGAAGGATCTGAACCCTACAGTCTTGCTGACCCCAGGTCCTGTGGCCATAAATACAGATGGTCATTGACTGACTGACTGGCCCTTCTGTACAAGATGGAGCATGGTAGAATGGAAAACAGTTTGGAACCAGAAGCCCCTGAGTTCAAGCCAAAGCTCTGTCACTACCTGTGTGACCCCAGGCAAACTGTTTAACCTCTCTAGACTCAGTTTCTTCATCTGTAAAATGGATTGGCGGGGAGGGAACCAGATAACTTCTGATATTGTTCAGTTATATCTGATCCTTCATGACCTCATTTGGCATTTTCTTGGCCATGGTACTGGAGTGGTTTTCCAGTTCCTTCTCCAACTCCTTTTATAGAGAAGGAAACTGAAGCAAACAAGGTGAAGTGACTTACCCAGGGTCACACAGCTAGGAAGTCTATGAGGCCAGATTTGAACTTAGGAAGATGAATCTTCCTGACTCCAGGCTCGACACATTATCCACTGTATCACCTAGCTGCCCCTATCTTCTGATAACCCTTGCTCTATATCTATGAAATTCTGAGATCAGTCCTCTCCACTTTGGGAGGGTGGTCCCATTGTTCCTATGAGAACACATGAGGTCCCTTTAAGGACTTACACCCTGGTTTTGCCCACTACCAGGCACAGGAAAACTCTGTCCTGGTTCACCCACTCCCCACTCCTAAACCTTCTGATGGAAGAAAATTTCCTACACTCAGCTTGGAGAGGGGCAGTCTGGCAGATACGTCACCTCTGACCTCCTATGCAGGACTCAGAAAATCATGCACCAAATAATAACTGTTATGACCCTTTTATCAGGTTTTACTCTTTCCCTTTGATGGCTCAGAAGAATTTGGTCTAAAGATGGAAACAGTGAAAGAAATAAGACCCTAGGAACTGGAACAGGAAGAGTCCTTGGAGGTCACATGATCAGTGATATAGGGCTGAAAGGAATCTTTACTGCTATCTAGTCTAGCCCTCTCATACAGAGTGGGAAACTGAGGCTAGAAGAGATTACAAGACTTTCCCAAGGTCACCGAGGTAGTAAGGAGCAAAAACCAGGATTTGAACCTAGGTTCTCTGACCCCAAATCTAGCACTCAAAGTATTCACAGGGCCGAAAGGACCCCCTATCTCTCCCTAACCTGTCTGACTGTACAGAGAGGAGTCCACATTTCTTCCAATGTACAGATCCAATGTAGAGAATGAACAGCCATATAAAACCTTAAACTGAATTTAATTAAAATAAATTTAACTAAAATTTAAATTTAACCAAATTTAGCTAAAAATCTCTGAGTAAAAAAAACTAAATTAAGAGAAACAAAATTAGCAGAAGCCAATAGTTTTCTCAATGTCAGGGAATTTAAAAGGGAATCCTTGACTTGGGATGGGATCTAGGAGAGCTGCTTAATATCCCACCTGGCCCCCTACCAGCACTGCCTACCTCAAAATACAGTGCTCTAGTGTGAATAGGCCTAGCAGGATTTGGGGTGCTCATGTTGGTAACCATAATATTAGCTAACAGTTTAAAGTTCACAAAATACTTTCTAAATATGATCTAATTTTATCCTCACTACAACCCTGAGAGGTGGCTGCTAATATTATCCTCATGTTACAGATGAGAAAACTGAGGCAGACAAGTTAAAAGCAATCAGTTGCCAAGTCTTATCAGCCCTACCCCTCTCCAGAATTGTCTGCATCAGTCCCCTCTGCGCCACATGGTTAACATTCTAGTAAGAGCCCTCATTACCTCTCCTGGATTACTGACATGAGTTCCCTTTTCTGAGACTCAGGTTTTCCTGTCTTGCCTACCCTGCCTTTCCAGCCTGGGATGGTGACAGCCTGCGGCAGGTGGGGGGGGGGGTCCCTCAGTGCCAGAGGCTCAATATATTAGTGTCAGACTTAGTGTGTAAGCACCAACAGCTTAGTCCACTACTGCTCAGAGATTCCCTTCTCAGGCCTCTCCAGAAGCAGGGCTTATAAAGAGCACCCCACCACAACCATCTAGAGTGGACTCCCTAACATGGCTCTATGCCTCAGATCCTGCCCCGTCCAATATACCTTCCTCAGAGCTGCCTAAGTGATACTCTTAAACATCTGACCATGTCACTCCTTTGCTCAATATGCTCCAGGGACCCTCTAGTATACATATATGTCATATGTGGTATAGAATATTAGATAATATATAACAAATGGCCATTCTGCATAGGTCTATATAATGAAGAGTCAATATTATTACATATATCATATAACAATATATATTTGGTTTCAACCTGTGATTTTGCAAATAAGGGACTTCTCAAGGAAAGAAACACCTTTTTCCTATGCAGAATGGCCATTCATATAGATATAGATATATACATATATATATATATATACATATACACACATATATATTAAATACACACACACATATAGATCCTTTCTTTTCCTCCTCTTCCTTCCTCTCTCCTTTCCTCTTTCTCTTCTTCCTCCCTTCCTTTCTGTCATCCTTCTCTTCCTCCTTTTCTTCCTCTTTCTCTTTCCCTTCCTTCCTTCCTTCCTCTCTTCCTCCCTTTCTTCCTCTTTCTCTTTCCCTTCCTTCCTTCCTCTCTTCCTCCCTCCTCTCTTCCACAAAGCTACAAATATGTCCAACATTTCCTATCCTTTAAAAAACACAACCTCCTTTCATTAGATCCCCTCATTCCCAGAAGCTATCACCCTCTTGCTCTCTTCTCTTTCAGAGCCAGAATCCTAGAAAAAGCCGTCGACACTCTCTGCCTCCATTTCCTCACTTGTTCCTCACTCCTCAACCCTTTACAATTTGGCTTCCCACCCCAACATTCAAATGAAACTGCCTTCTCCAAAGTCACAAGTGATCTCTCAATGGCTAACTCTCAAGGAGCTTTCCTAGACCTCTTGACTTCTCCACTCTTAACTACCACCACCTTTTAGATACTCTCTCCTCTCTAGGTTTTAATGCCTCTTTCTCTTGTCTTTCCTCCTATTTGTCTGACATCTCCTCAGGCTCTGCTGCTGGATTACCACCCTATCAGGTTCCCTAAGTGTGGCCTTCCGTCATGGTCTTGTGCTCTATTCTCACTACCCTCTCTTAGCTTGAGGGTGTCCAAGTCATCCCGAGTCAAACTGAACTTGCAAAGAGAGCCTGAAAAGCAGAGATTTATTTACCACCAGAAGCTTCACTTAAAATTGCTTTGACTCATCAGCTCCCATGGATTCATCCACACAGAAGTCCACTGCCCCAGCCCTCTACTCTCTTGGGCTTCAGTCTCCAAGTTCATTTTAATTTTGTCTTTGTATCCCCCGATGCCAGGTATGAGGCAGGCACTTAACAAAGGCTTGTAGAACTGAAGTATTGCAGTGGTGCAATGGATAGAGTACTGGAGTCAAGAGGTCCTGAGTTCAAATCTGGCCTCAGACACATGACACTCACTAGCTGTGTAACCCTGGGCAAGTCACTTAACCCCACTGCGTAGCAAAAACAAAACAAAACAAAATGAAAAAAAAAAAAGAACTGAAGCATTGAGCCAGACTTACCGCGCTTGGCGGCGTTCCCATTCTTGGCTGCGCTCTCGTTCAGGGCTTGCTGCTCCCGGTAGTGATCCTCATCTGCTTTCCGGTCTCTGCCAGGACAGGCACAGATCCTCCCCTCGAATGACCTCCGGCCTAGAACCTGCCCGCTGCCAGGCAAACAGAAGCAGGGACTCCCTCATGAGCATCGCTGGGGCACAGAGAATGCCAAGAGGCTCCACACACCCCAGCTCCAGTCTATACCCACTAACCCCAACCAAGGCCCGGAACACATACATGGGTCAGAACCACCCTTTTGGTGATTTCTTAGTCAATATGGAACAGGTAGGGGTTGAGCTCTTTCTTTTTGGAGACAGTGAAGGGGTGGGAATGGACATAAGGGTATTCAGCCTTGAAACTAAAATGACCCATGCTCCTCACCAGTAACGGAGATGATTCAAACCCTCACCTAGAGAATCTACTAGGACTGTAGGACTCCAGACAAGACCTCAGAGGCCCATAATTCAATTCTCCCATTTTCTACAAATGAGGAAACTGAGGCCTGGAAAGATGAATGGACTCATCCAAGGTCACACAAGTAATAAGGGGCTGAGCAGAAAATTGAACTCTAGCCTCATTCAGTATTGCTTCGGTGCCCAGGAGCTGTCCCTGGGAAGGCCATCCCCCTGTACAAACACGTTGAAGGAATTAAAAAGTGGCTGCAATTGCAAAATTATCTTCCATTCTGAGACAAAAGGAGAAATCCAGTAAATAAAAGTCATTGGTTTGTAAGAGCTAGAAGGGACATTCTGGAAAATTAGTTCAAACCCCTCATTTTAGGGACAAGGAAAATGAGCTTCACATAATAAAGCCCAGAACAACAGGTAGAGAACCATGGGATTTTCAAGAGGGAAGGCAGCAGTAAGACAATTCATCATTTCACACATATGTGGAAACTGAGGCCCACAGAAGGAAGTTAGACAGTGGCAGAGGGCAGAGGTCAGACTCAAACCCAAGAGTCCTAACATCAATGTTCCTTCCCTTTCACCAAATCATCCTTCCTCCTGAAGCCCAGTGACACCATGCCACACTTTCTCAATACAGCAAATGATTGACCTATGGTCTCACAGAGGGACATTAGGAGACACACTGAGTCCATCCTCTGAAGGCTCCCTGTCTCACACTGCCTTTCTTCCATGGCATCCCTCCCAAGGTATTTAGGGAGGCAGTTTGGTGCAGTAGATGTAGAGCTGGGCTTGGATTCATGAAGACCTGGATTCAGATCTTGTCCCTGACACTGACTAGCTGTATGATTCCAGGCAAGTCACATAACCTCTCTGATCCTCAGTATCATGATCTATAAAATGGTAATAATATTATCACCTTCTTCCAAAGGGTATTGTGAGGACCAAATAACATATGTAAACAGCTTTGAAAACCTTAAAAGGAATAAGAATTTCCCTGTGATTTCAGTGGTGTTAAACTCAAATCCTTACCTGTTACCTACCACAAATTTACATTATCTATCTTATATTATATTTTTGTTTATTTTATTAAAGATTTCCCAATTAAATTTAAATCTAATTGGGACCCATTGGGGAGTTTTGTAGGCCACAGGGGCCTCTCTGGCTCTGAGTTTGACACCTCTGGTGCAGAGAATTCTGCTGTTAAGAAACTTTCTACCAATGCAAATCTGCAACTTCTTTGCAATTTAATCCCTTCTCATCCCACCTCATCCTATCCCACCCCACCCTAACTCTTCTCATCTCATCCCATCTCTTCTCATCCCACCTCATCCTATCCCATCCCATCCCATCCCATCCCATCCCATCCCATCCCATCCCATCCAAGTTCCCCATCCAACTCACTCTCTAGTCTCCAACGTGATGATGATGAGAATGGGCCTCCGGTTCATGCCTCCCACACAGCTGCTGTTGCACATGAAGTTGTACAGGATGGTGGTGAATTCTGTCCCTACCTGCTCTCAAGAAAAGAAAGGCCAGGAATGGAATACCACTGGAGTACTACAAAAAGCAAACACTGCTGGACCTACAGGATGCCTGACGCAGTCCAACTCACCCTCAGACAAAATCAACTCTGGCTTTGGATAAATCTGGAAGGCAGGGGCTCAATTACCACTAAAAATCTCCATTAAAATCATCTGGAAGCATCCAACCATTTTCTGGAGGAGCAGGTATTTGTGTTAGTATTCGAAAATCCTTAAGGGTATAGCTGAAATAACTGGGCCATTAACTTTGGCCACTAGCTACAGAACCAAGGTTAATTGGCCATATGCCAAATGACTAGAATATATGAAAATATTCCATTAATATTATAGAAACAGAACTTCTGTTCTAATAATTATTTTAGTAATTTGGATCTCTGGGAGTTTGCAATATTTTGCAAAAAAAAAAAAATTTTGCATCCTGGAGTGCCTGAAACTCTATGCTACTGATTTGCCAAGATTTAATGACACAATTATATTTTTGACTTGTTTCCCCCCTTGTTCTTCCTTCCTTGCTGCTTTTCTTCCTACCTCCCTTTTCTGTGCAGTCTTGTTCCGTTAGAATGGTAAGCTCCTTGAGGACAGGGACTATCTTTCATTTGCTTCACAAAGTTCCCAGCACTTAGTAAGTGCTTAATAAATACTGGTCGTTGCTTGTCTGTTAGATAAACTCTCTGTTCTGGAGTCCCAACCATAATGTAAGTAGTGTGATTATAGGTAACTGCTCAGAATTCTCTAGCAGCTCTTTGGAAAGGCATATAAACCACCGGATTTCCCCTGTAAACTGGAATGCTTGTGAAGTCAATCAACCACCTTATGGATCGTGAAGAAGAATCAGTTCAGTCAATAGTACCTCTAGCAATTGCTTGGGAAATGAATACACCTGTTTTTCTAGTAGGTCTGATCTCCTAGAACACAAGGAGTAATTCAAAGCTATTTAAGAAAGAAGAGCAAAACTTGGGGAAAAAAGGAGTGACTTAGCTTATCTGGTTCCACCATTTATATGGTCCACATGTAAACATATGCACCTATTGGATTGTATGCGTGTCTGCACGAATAAACAACAAGATGGATAGAGTGCTGGACGTGGAGTAAGGAAAATCTTACTTCACATCCAGTATCAGACACTACTAGTTGTGTGACCCTGGGCAAGTCACTTAACCTCTGTTTCCCTCAGTTTCCTTGGCTATAAAATGGGGACAATATATGCCCCAGGTTGTTGTGAGGATAAAATGAAACAATATTTGTGAAGTGCTTTGCAAATCTTAAATTGCTATAAAAGTATGTATAATTCAGTGCATGCATGAAACTGTGTCCCAAATCTCACTCAGCTTCTGCAGAAACTTGTATTAGTAATAGAAACCCAAATCCTGGATGCAAGATGCCTGATTCACAATGCCAAATCATGGATCCATAGGATGGCAGAAGGGACTGTAGAACAAAGAAAGTCAAAGCAAGAGAGACTTTAGAACAGAAAATGTCAGAACTGCAAGGAACCCACTTTAGGACATGGAATGTCAACAAATTGACCAATAAGGATTTATCAAGATCTTACTGCTAAGCAGAGGGATACAAGAATGGGGAAAAACAAGGAGGGTGGGGGACACAACATATAAATAAATAGGAACAAGCAGAATAGAAGAGAAAGGTGACCTTAGAGGAAAAGGTTCAAGTAGCCAGGGGGACCAGAATAAACCTCCTGCAGAAGAAAGGATTTGAACTCAGTTTTGAAGAAATGCAGGGATCCTAGAAGGTGGTAGAGAAAGAATTCCAAGCATGTGGGACAGCCTGGACAAAGGAGTAAGGAGAAGGGGTGTTTTGTGCAAAGAACATTAAATGAGCTAATGCTGTTGGATCACAGTTTGAGAAAACAAACAGAAGGAAGGTACCAGGTTATGAAAATGACTCTCTATTTAAGCCTAGAGGTAACAGAGACCCTGGAGCTTACTGAGTTAGGCATCTCATGGTCAGACCTGTGCCTCAAAAAGAACACTTAGCAAGTTGAGGGAAAGATGACTGGAGCGGGAGGAAGACCAGCTAGGAGGCTATTGCAATGGTCTAGGTAAATGGTGATGAGAACTAGGATGGAGGCTGTTTTAGTGGGGAGATGGGGGGAGGGCACAGATGACAGATGTTGGGAAGGCAGACCTGATAGAACTTAGCAACAGATCTTTGTCCAGATTCCCCCATTAGCTTCAGTGCCATAGGCTATATGTTTGTCTGCTTGCCAAGATCAGCCCCCTAAAGGTCAAAAAACATCTCAGATTTAGGGGGAGAAGGACAGAGAGGGGTAGAGGATGATACTGAGGTTGCCAGCCTAGATGACCAGGAGGACTGAGGTTGCCCCTCTGTGGTGATAGGGAAGATGAGAAGAGGGAAGAGATGTGGGGAAACAACAGTGAATTCTGTTTTGAACATAGCGATTCAAAGATAAATTGAGTTTAAGATGCCTATGAGATATATAGTTGTAAATGCAATAAATAGGAAGCAGAATTGGATCTCAGAAGAAACTAGGTAGGGCTGTCTAATCTGGGAGTCAAGTGCATAAAGACTTTATACTATAGAATGCCATAGCTGAGAGGGACTTCAGAACACAGAAGATTGGGGCTGAGAGGGCCTTTAGGACATAGCAAGCTAGAGCTAGAAGGGGCCTTATAAACATATACAGATAATAGGGTATAGAAATCTATCCTGCCCTACAGGAAAATAGAAGAGGAAGGAGATCAGAGAAGGGGGGAGAAAGAAGGGAGGGCAGATTAGGGGAAGGGGTATTCAGAATTCATGCTATCTTGGAGTGGGGAGAGGGACAAGATGGGGAGAAAATTTGGAACTCAAAATCTTGTAGAAGTGAATGTTGAAAACTAAAATAAATAAATTAATAAATAGAAGGGACCTTATATCCCAGAACACAGAATGCAAAATCTGGAAGGACTCTTAGAACCCAGAATGTCAGAGTTGGAAGGGTACTTAGGACTTAGAATGTCAGATCTTGGAGAGATCTTAGAAGCTAGAATATCAGAAAAGGAAGAGATCTTGGAATACAGAATATGAGAAGTAGAAGGGGTGTTAGATCACAGGCTCTTAGAGCCAGAAGAACCCTAGAATGTCAGAGCTGGAAGAAGGCTTAGCTCACAAGATATTGGAGTTATAAGGGCCCTTATCCCTAGAAGAACCTTGAAATTATCATCTACCAGAAGGAATCCCTGCCCCTCACCTCCTGGAATTTCAAAGATGGAGAAACCAAGAAGAAATTTAACTATATAATGAGTTAGTGCCAGAACTGAGACCAAGCTCGAAGACTCTGGACTCTCTGGCCCAATCTTTTGGACTTCCTGGGACCATTCAATGGGATCAGGAAGAATGGGTTCTGACCTAGTACCTCCAACACTTCCTAGCTGTATGACCAGGGGCAATCACTTAACATCAGTTTCCTCATCATGTAAAATAGGGATAATCAGAGCACCTACCCCACGGAGTTGTGAAGATCCATGTAAAATATTCTACAGGTCTTTTAAGTGCTTTGTAAAGTCAGTTGTTGATTTCATTATAGGTTTCCTTCCTCCCCCCCCATGCTGGGAAGTTGGTTGGAAAATTCATGCACAGTCCTAAGTGTACTACACCACCCAAGCCCACTAGAGGGAGAGCTGGGTCTTGTTTGTAAGCCTGTAGAACTTAAGTGCTGGAAGGTCCCTTTGAGTCCTGTCCTCTCCTACTTTTACAGAGTAGGAAACTGAGGCTCGAAATGTAGACAAGACTTGTCCATGGTTGCAGAGCTAATCAGGGGCTGATACTTGAACCCAGGTCTCTTGTTTACTGTTTCCCCACCTTCCCCCCATTCCCCTCTTCTTCCCTGTAGTCTTTGGGCTCTTATTGGAAGAAAGCTGGGATAGAAACTGGGAGATGCTTTTTGTCTTCGAGGGGGCTGATCTTGAGGAGCAGAGCCCTTGATCCACCAGTGGCCAATATCCTTTGTGTGTGTGAGGGGAGAAGGAGAACATCCCAAACATACAGCTTATGGTGGTGAAGCTAACAGGAGAGTCTGGACAAAGATGAACAGAAAATACACACTAATTCACAAGAGCCTCAGACACTACCTAGGTGTATGACCCTGGGCAAATCACTTTACCTCTGTTTGCCTTGGTGTGCTCAACTGTGAAATGGGGATCATGCCTACTTCCCAGGATTGTTGTGAGGATCATGAGATGATATTTGTAAAAGCACTTAGCACTGTGCCTGGCACACAGTAGGAACTATATTAATGGTTATTCCCTCTCCCCCTTCCCCCTTTATCATGGCTTGCAGGTCCATCATCATCACAATTGGTTCCCCTGTGGATATTTTCCTGAAAATGTAGTCCCTAGAACTGAATACAGTCCTTCAGATGGAAGAACTAAGGGAAGGATGGGAAAATGGGTCCACGAGGACAACAAGCTAGAGGAAGTGGGGTTGTTTGGCTCTTGGAAGGGAAGGCCACAAGGGCTGACTCAGGAGGCCTCCGATGAGTCCCAGAGGCATTGCAGTGAGGTCTAAGCAAGACTTTCTTTCTCATCAAGGCAGATAGACATGAAGGATGGGGTGGCCCAGGTAAAGTCTCTAAACTTCTAGGGCTTCAGGGAAGGAAATGCAGGTCATCTGACTTACCTGCGGTGGCTCATATGGCACCATCACACTCTGTCTCCCAGTGACAGGGTCATCCACATACTGAGAGAGGTTGCTGCCCTCCACTCGGATGAGGTGGCTTGCTGGGGCTGACTGTCCTGCCGGGAGAGAGCTCAGAGTCAGTGGGAGCATTCCCTGTGAGTCTGGACCCGCCATCATTCAGTCTATCCCCTACCCCCATTCCCTTTCCAATGCTGGGCTCTGGGAGGCCCAGATTATAATGAGGCAGAGCCCTGGGAAGTATCTTTCTATGCTGGCCTGTCCCCAGGCCATTACAACAGAAACAGCTGATCTGTCTGTAATCCTCTGATGGATTAATTTCTCTCATTCCTAGCTCTGATCAGGTCATTCTCCCTGCTTAGAAACCCTGCAAGTTCCTCAGTGCCCACTGGAGAAAGTGCAGACTCTTTAGCCGGGAGTCCCAAGGCCCTGCACAATCTGACCCCAACCTGCCTTTCTAGCATTCCTTTGAATTGCACCCCCTGCTCATCCATAGGGTTATAGGATTGTAGGATCAGAGACATGATCAATGAGCTCAAGCTAGAAGGGACCTCAGAGGCCACTCAGCCCATCCCCCTCATTTGACAGATGAGGGAACCAAAGCCCAGAGAAATCAAGTGACCTGCCCAAGGTAGTGAGCGGCTGGGCAGGGATTGCCAGTGGAGTGTGCCACATGCCCCATTTCAACCAGTGTGATCATCTTGCCATTCCCACACGTTCCACTATTCTGCATACCTAGAACGCCCAAACAACCCTACCATTGTCATCCCCACCTACTGGAAAATTATACTTGCCCTTCAAGGCCCAGATCAAATGCCACCTCCTATAAAAATTCTTCCTTGATCAACCCTGCTAGAAATGGTATTTCCCTTTGTTGATGGACACATTAGAGAAAATACTGGCCCAAGAGTCAGAAGGGTTCGAGTATTAACCCTGTCATTAACTAGGTGTATAACCAAGGAAGCCTCTGCCTGCCTCTGAGCTCCAGGTTCCTTGTCTGTCAAATGATGGGCCTCTTGCGTATAGTACTTGTTACAATGTCTTGTGCTGCAGAGGCTGATTTCTACAACTTCCTCTCCTAGGAGACTGTGAGACCCAGGAGGACAGGGCCTGTATCATACCTATCTCTCTCGCCCCAACACTGAGCACGGCACTTTACACTCACTTCTGCCTCTTAGAATCCTTGGCTTCCTTCAAGATTTTGCTCAAAAGTTACCCCCAAGAAGTCCTCTCAACTGCTAGTGCCATTGTATGTACTCTGCATGTGGTCTACCCCATTGTGGGGGGGGGCTGCTTGAGGGGAGAGCTGTTTTTTTCTCTTTTTGTTTGTATCCCCAGCATTCAACACAGTGCCTACCTAGCACACTAGACCTTTAATAAATACTTCTTGACTGACTGATATGAACTTTAGAACTACTTAATGAATTGAGTTATTCATTCTTGCATTCCTTTGGTGCAGTGAACAGAGTGCTGGGCCTGAAGTCATGAAGACTCATTTTCCCAAGTTCAAATCTGGCCTCAGACACTTGTTAGCTGTGTGACCCTGGGCAAGTCACCTAATCCTGTTTGCCTCAGTTTCCTCATCTGTAAAATGAGCTAGAGAAGGAAATGGCAAACCACTCCAATATTCTTGCCAAGAAAACCCTAAATGGGGCTATAAAGAGTCAGATATGACTGAAAAAACAACTAAACAGCAACATTCCTTTCAGATGCAGTCAAAGACCCAGGGAATGTTTACTGAACTGAATTTATGGACTTCTAGTTGGCACAGTGAATAGAGGCTGGGCCTGGAGTCAGGAAGACCTGAGTTCAAATCTGGCCTCAGATACTTACTTGCTGTATGACCCTGGGCAGGCATCGAACCTCTGTTTGCCTCAGTTTCCTTATCTGTAAAATGAGGATAATAACAGCACCCACCTCCCAGGATTGTTGTGACAATCAACTGACATGAAGAACGCGCGAGTGCTAGGTAAATGTTGGCTATTGTTATGATTATTAATGACATCTTAGCATTATTGGCTGGTCCTTCTCTTTTGCCCGTTCTGCTGCTGCTTATTGCTTAATGCACTACTTAAATGCTATCCTGTTTGAGCCCCACAAGAACTCTGGGAGGTATGTGCTACTATTATCCCCATTACACAGATGAGGAAATTGAGAGAGACAGAAGTGAAGTGACTTGCCCAGGTTCATACAGCTCGGAAGTGTCCTGAGACCAGATTTGAGCTCAGCTCTTCCTGACTCCAGGTCCGGCACTTTATCTACTGCATCATGATGTTTCTGGACTTTAAGCCCCTTGAGGGCAAGCCTAGTATCATGTCTCTATCTGCATCCCCAACACTAAGCATGCAGCCTTGCACTCGGTAAACAGGCAGCCAGGAGCTATGGGTTGAACTGAGTTGTTCGTATATCTTCGCATTCTCCATTCCCCGCCCCACCTTCATTGAAGTCTCTGCCGAGCTCGTGGTTGGGACAGCGCTTCACCACCTCAGTCACATGCTCTGCCTTCTTGTAGACGGGCATCGCCCGGATGACGGTGCCAGGGGGAGGGGGCGTCGACACCTTGATCTGGATGGGGCACGTCTTGGCGATCTGGCAGTACAGTTTCTTCAGCAGTGGCGAGTACTGTAAGGGAGAAGCAGGTGAGAGCTGAGGTAGGGCGTCTTAGTGGGAGAGAGAGGAGAAGGGGAGGCAGAGCTGGAACTAGGGCTTTGTCATTGGTGCCCGAGTTAGTGGGGGCAGGTGTCCCTTGCAGTCTTTCAGCAGCATAGACAAGCCCTTATCACAGAGTTAGCAGAAAGGGTCACCAAGTAACAAGCTCTTCTGCCCTGCCCACCATGTTTCTGTGGTATCCCCCTATTAGAACGTAAGCTCCTTGAAGGCAGGGGCTATTTCATTTTGTCTTTGTATCTCCAGTCCTTATTATAGTGCAGGACACATTAATGAATGCTTGTTGATTGGCTAATTGGGAGGCAGCAGGCTCAAGAGAAAAAACCCTTCAAGATCCACTTCCTCCAGGAAGCTTTCCATGCTTGATCTCTTTGCATTCCATTCTCTTCAACAAGCTTTTATTGAGTGCCTATTATGTGCAAAGCACTACAAATAACAAAAACACAATGGTGTCTGCCCTCAAAGAGGTTATGCTCTATTGGCGGTGGGGCGGGATTGAGATATAATGTCCCATAGAGAAGTAGAAACAAAGTTACTGCAAATAATCCAACGGACATACGATGTCATCAATGTGGGTCTTCCCTCTAATGATAACAACTTACATTTACGTGGCACCTACTATGTGCCTGGCACTATGGTAAGCATTTTACAATTATGATCTCATCTGATCTTTAAAACAACCCTGAGAGGTAACTAAGGCAAACAGAGGTTAAGTGACTGACCCAGGGTCACACAGCTAATAAGTATCTGAGGCTGGTTTTGAACTCAGGTCTTCCAGACCCCAGCTCTCTAACCACTGAGTCACCTAATGATACAGCAGTTAATCCATTCATTTCTGCCCATCCTGTGTGAGTCTCATGTCCACATCTAGAAATTACTTGGCCTGGTTTTGTATATGTATATCAACCCATGTACCCAGTAATTTGAGGGGGAGGGGTACCTCTAGTAAATTGGGGGGGGCATTGGGAAAGACCTAGAGTAGGAGTAATTACGCTCTGAGGAAAGCTAAGAAATCTAAGAGGTAGGGGCATACTGCAGATATTGGAAGCTACCTATGCTAAGGCGTGTAGGGGAGAGATGGAATATTGTCTAACAGGAAAGTCTGATTAGAGGGCAGCTAGGTGGTGCCACAGTGCACAGAGTGCCTTGCCTAGAGTCAGGAACCTCATCATCTTGAGTTCAAATCTGGCCTCAGACATTTACTAGCTGTGTGACTCTGGGTAAGTCCCTTCACCCTGTTTGCCTCAGTTTCCTCATCTGTAAACTATGTTGGAAAAGGAAAAGACAAACCACTCCAGTATCTTTGGCAGGAAAACCCTAAATGGAGTCACAAAGGGTCAGACATGGCTAAAAAAAATGACTGAACAAGGTTGATTAGAAGGAGGAGGGGCAGAGTGGTGGGGCATAGAAAGGGGAATAATACAAAACAAAGAGAAAAGGATAAGAGGAATTCACATGAGGGTTCCATATAGTTGGCAGTGAACAAAGCCTGAGGATGGGTCTCTCCCTGCCCTGGATTTCTCCAGCAACGTCAAATGTGTACTCTGTAATTCACACATGCTTTGAATCTGGGCTCTAATGATTCCATCTGAGTCCTAACTCTCCAGCTAATCTGGAAGGCTCTCAAGATCAGGGACGACACCTTTCTCCCCCCCCCCCGCCCACGCTGTGCCTCAAACTGTGCTGAACAGGATAGATACTTCCTAAGGGGGATTTAACCTGGGGTCCATGAACGTTTTCATGTATATATGTATGCAAGCATGTATGTGCATGTATATATGTGCATATATGTAGCTATGTACAAATTATATGTGCAATATGTGTGTATGTAGATAGATCGATAGATAATTGTATTTCAATATAATTTACAATTCTATGTATTTTCCTTTGTGTATTTAAAGACATTATTCTGAGAAAGGTCCATCACACACACACACACACACACACACACACACACACACATACACACACACACACACACACACACACACAGAGGTAGAGCTCCTGTCTCATGAGCTTGATGAATTGACATGAATCAGGAATGAGTCACAGAGTCTCAGAGGCGGGAGGGACCTCGGCAGATAGCTAGTCCAATCTGCACATGAACAAAACTTGCCCTGAACAACCACTGCTGTAAGTGGCCATCCCTGCCAGGACCTAACGACCTGCTGTGATGGAGAAGCCACTTCCCAAGGCAGTCCGCTGGGCTCGTTGACAGCTCCTAGGATAGGGAATTTTTCTTTCCCCGGAGCTGTAATGTCTCTACAGCCTCTGCCCACTGTCCTGGTTCTGTGTTCTGATCCCTTTTTCCCATGATGGCCCTTCCGATACCCAAAGAGCCACCATTTCCAACCTCCACAAACCCAGCTCAGTCTTTGCTCTCCAGGAATGGAATCCAACAAAATAATCTGAATTTAGGGAACACACATCATCTCTCAAGTTCCTCCTCTCTGACTTCTGTCCCCTAATTCCTCTGTTCCTCTCCCCTAGCTTCCTGAAGCAGTTGGAATTTCTCATCTGTACCATTTGTGATGAGAAGACTGCAAGTTCTGCCTGCTGAGCCCTTCAAGCTTTTCTGAGTAAAGGGACTGGGTACTTTTTGGGGGGAAGAAAGGTTGTCCCCAACATGCTCAAACAGGCAGCCTTTTCTGAGGGATCCCAAATATTCACCTGGAGTGCCGGGAGCTGTTCCGTTCCAGTTGGCCCCTCCGATGGATTTGCTGAGACAAGTCAGGCTGAAGTGCCTCAGAATGAACAGCGAAAAGACCATTTTTCCAGGGCTCAGATGAACCCCACTTTCCAAAGACCCAGCAGTATAGAGCACAAAGAGCTTTTTCTCTTGAAAACTCTCCTTCTCTTTTTGCCTTTTCCTTCCCACTAACTCTGAAAAATAATTCATCTATCCATCCATCTATCTACCTACCCATTCATTCACCCAACAAACATTGCCAGGAGAACCTGTGGTGACTGGTAACATTTCCCAAAGGCTTTGGAAATTATCCCACTATCCCAAGACAACACTAGGGAGCCCTTAGAGGGGTGTGGTGTGCATAGGGTAGAGGTACTATTAACTTACACTGTTCTATCTGGATTCAGTCCCTACCCTTTATCCCAGCTCAATGGAATTGCCTGGGACCAAAGCAGAGGGCTGACTCACAGATTCATAGAATCATAGGCCATCCAATCTATAAGATTGGAACATCTAGTCTAATCTTTTAATTTTACAGAGAGAAGAAACTGAGTTTCACAGATGTTAAGTGGCTTGTCCAAAATTACAAAAGCAAGAAGAGGCAAAGCTGGAATTCAAAGGGATTTGATAGCACGTCATCACCTTTTCCATCATTCCCACCAAACCAAACAGCACCTTCATGGTCACCATCTACAGACAGTATATGTAAAGCCACACATAACTGAGCATTTTGTGTGGTGATTGAAGTTATAGAGGCTAACACAAAAAATGGCCCAAAGCTTTTGCCACAACTATTTTTGCCACAACAAATATTTCTCAGTGTTTTTATATGAACTTTTTGGTGCTGAATTCAGTATTCAGAGTTTCTCCATCACCCTGTGTTACCGAGTGACATAGACATTTTGATATAACTTACGAGACATAAGGTGGTAATGAGGTGTGGTTGGGTTGGAGGGGGGACAGGTGGGGATGAGGGAGGATGGCAAGAAGTCACTCCACGAGTTGCGCATGAATGCTCTGTGACATCCTGGCTTAGGTGCCGTATGGGAGAGCAGGCTGAGACATGCTCAGGTGTGTTCAGTCATGCAGTGGAACTCTCCACATGGAGGAGCCTAGTCTTCCAGTTGTGTGCCAGGTGTCATCTGGTAAACATTCCTCTCATTTTTAATCCTATTTTCTACTTTGTAGGCACTGGTGTGCATCACTTAAATTCTTATAAGTGCGTCCGTCAGCCAAAGAGTTTCTGTTATTATACGTGATGAGCTAACTTTTAAATCTCAGAGATGGAACTTCACTGCTCTGGTAAGAAAGCATAGGGAACATATTTTGGTTATGAAAGAGGCAATCAGGATAGTGCTGCTGGAGCCCCTCATACGTAAAGCATCCCTCTGTTAAAACTACAACTTGGCTTCATATCATCTGGCATTTCTGGCTCCTGTGATTTGGAAAGAACAAAAAGACCATTCAACAGACGATTATTTTTGCTCAACATATACATCAGGGATGTGCAGATTACTCTAAATGTCCTCTCGAAATGTCAGATTGGCCTTGAGATCTGTTCCACAGAGACAACCACCTGTAGTATGCAAAGCACCAGAGACTTGGGATGTGGATGAAGAAGATGAACATAATCAACGAGCATCAGGCTTTATTAAGCGCCTACTATGTGGCAAGTACCATGCTGAGCACTGGAGATATAAAGTAGGCAAAAACAGTCCCTGCTCCCAGGAAGTTCACAGTCCAATGGAGGAGGCAATATGCAGATGACTACATACAAATGGGGCAGTTAGCTGGTGCAGAGTACTGGGCTTGGAATCAGGAAGACTCTTCTTCATGAATTCAAATCTGGCCTTAGAAACTTAGTAGTTGTGTGACCCAGAGCAAGTCACTTCATCCTGTTTGCCTCAGTTTCCTCATCTGTCAAATGAGCTGGAGAAGAAAGTGGCAAAGCACTCCAGAATCTTTGCCAAGAAAACCCCAAATGGCGTCACAAAGAGTCAAACATGACTGAACAACAACAAAAACCGTACAAACAAGACACTAAGACAAAAGATATTAAAATAAGAGATCAAAGAGGAGTAGCAAAGGCACCTTGCGAAAGTGGGGTTTTTAGCTCAGACTTGAAGGGAGCCGGGAGGCAGGGACGAGGAGGGAGAGGACTCCAGGCAAGGCCAGAGGAAACGCCGAGTGTCAGGAGACGGAGGGTCTTGTGGGAGGAAGAGCAAGGCAGCCAGTGCCACTGGAATGGAGAGGACATGGCAGGGGA